ACCTGTGATACATCAGTGCCTCTAACAACGTTTATCCAAATTCTCTGCCAGTGTTCTAAACTAACTCCTTTATCTGCTGTAAATTTGAATCTCTAAATTGATTTCAAAACGTTATTTTAACCTCCAGAGCTGCCAACAATATTTCATCATGAAATGTACTGCTTGAATGTTATCTGCTGCATGGAATATAGAGTGAAAGTGGGTTTTGAGCATCTTTTCACAGCCCCATTAGTATCAGCTCCTGTTCTTTCCATATGACAAATTTCTTACAACCATATTTGTGTTCAGGGACACCAATTTTCACAAAAGTGCTATTAACACCTCTTGGAGTTTAGTTTAAAAATATTAATGTGCAACTCTTACTTTAATCACAAATACCATACACTGGCATGTGCCAAGAGAAGATGCTACAATAGCAGAGTATCATTTTACAGAAAGTGGGGGAAATGGATTAGACCCAAAGATATCTCTATTTCATTTAGTGGCTGAAATTGCTTAATGCCATTAAAACCAAAACTGAAATACAGAATATATTCCCTGAAGGAACTGTGATGTTCTTTACAATGAGCAATGAAATGAATTTCACTATGAAACAACCATCTTTGTAGCAAACAGTGTTCAAGTGAGAAACAAAACATTAAGGGACTTGCTAAAACCCTGCTGGATCTCCCCTCCCTTTCCCGGGACACTCACACACCCCAACTGCCAGCACTGGGGGCACTGTGCCCAGGACTGCTGGATGAACTGGATCCCAAGGCCACAGGACTCCAAACTCGGACAACTGCCCCAGAAATAAACTGTTCCTTGAGCTACAGGACATCCCCACGTTCCTTTAACGAGAGCGAGTTCATCACACAGGGCAAGTGTTATTTCAAAACGAGAACATTTTCAACAATCAGATCTCTCAATCTAGTATTAAGCTAAATTTTAACTACTGGTACCAAGACTGCCTTGCTGCTGAGGCTGTGGATATGGAGAACAACCAGCTTCTTTAAATTAGCTTCTCAAGACACAGAAAAGGCAAACCCCCCCCACCTTCCAAATAATCACTTCAGATTCGTGTTATTTGGCCTTAAATTTTGCCATTATCTCAAATCCCAATCCCAAAGATGATGAAGTATTTCTACTCAAAACCACATGTTTTGCAGCACAAGTGCTGTAACATCCTGGTCCCACTGAAGGTATTATGGTCCTACTTAATTCAGTGGCAAGCTTCCCATGTCAGTGTACGAGAACTGGCCAGCTGATGATTACCAGTGGGATAAAAAGTATGTCTTTGTCTCTTTTCTGTACAAGACCAGCATGTGACAGCAGCGCTTTGCCAATGGAAAAGTCTGTCCAAGGTCAGCTGTTCTGTTACCAACGGGTCTAACACATCAGCCAGTAAGAAAATGTTGCTGAAAACTGCTTTGAGAAGCAAATCGTTCTGACACAGCTCAGGACTGCACAGCCTCTAACCTTCTTTACACTTTAGAGAGTCTAAACCTAAATTGTAATAATATACTAGAGTAAATATACAGCCTGATGAATACATTATTAAGAGGAATGAATAGCTATTATACAGCACTCCAAACTGGACTGCTTTCTTTCTGAACAAACATACACTAGAAAACAAACATGAGATGTTTCCCGGGGATTTTCAGATACACCTAATGGCTCTGTTAGTTAGTTCATTTTGGGTCACTAAGAAACACTAGTTAATGCTGCAGCTCATTCTCAAACTGACTGCTAAAATATTTTCCTCTATCAGATCAACACTCTTCCTACAGTGAAGAGCTGCAAGAAATGGAAAGCCTAAAAGGAATTGGAGCACTTGGGCAAGGAGGGAAGGAAATACGTTTGTGTTATATGAAATTCATTTATCCAAAACTGGGATTTTGTGAAAAGTTAATTATAAAGTTACATGAAAAACCAGCTAAACCAGCCATTGAAATTGCCTGTCTCCTTTAATCTGCATATTCTGAATACCCAGATAATGACACGTTCCAGAAACACTTTAAAGCTTTATATACCACTGTCATGTTTTCTCTTTTGACAGAAGTTTATCATTTACAAGTAGCAAGAACTTAAAAATGTTATACTGGAATCACTCCAACTTGTGTGCAAAACCCAAAAATGCAGTACTTAAAATTAGCAAACCTCAAGAAGCTCCATCATATTCAGCAGCATCATTAGGATTGTGCTTTTTATGAGGGTCACAAGCTCTGCAACAATGAGCAACAGATTACTACAGAAAAGTTCACAAAAGCAGTCTAGAGAAGCTTTCAAATGTTCGGATGACTTTTAGCTGAGTTTGATACTTATATTCCTGCCTGCTTTTTCCAGCACCTCCTGATTTTACAGAAATACCTCCTTGTGAAAACAAACTTTCCTGATTGCTCACTTGGTTGGTGCTTTTGACAAAACAGTGAAAAGATGTGGAGCTTTGTAAAAATTGGAACACATGGAACCAAGACAATCTCCTAAACAGAGACACACAGGATAACTCCAATTCCCAGAAACATCTGCTGTTGTCTTCTAAAAAAAAATATCTTCGTGACCTTGAGCCAACTTATGTTTTTGCATTGAAGAAACCATAAAATGTACAAAGTGAAAGGAAAACCAAAAGCAACTACCTTACACTCCTTGAAACAAGTGGAATGTTGCTTACAAGCAGCTCTGCTGGCTACAACTGGATCATGACAGAACAGGGTCCGGAAAATTCAGTTTTGCAAAGCATTCAACTACATCCTTAAAGGAATGGCTGCTGGGTTGTTTTTCCTGTTGTTGCTACACCTTAAGGATAAGGGTTTTTTTAATTATTACTTTTAAAGTTTAAGACTTCTGTTTATTACCATAAATATAGAGAAAACAGTAAATACCAGATCTTGAGTTCTCAAGCTTCCCAGCTCTACCAGTGTTATGTGCACTATGTCTATATTCTGAATGCTGCTTTATCAGTGGGAAATTTGTGACCACCAATATGCCAAAACCCAACCTCACAATTACCATTTCACTTGTCCAGTAAATTGCTTGATAAACCTGTCTGTGGTTTCAGTTTTCTGATCTGCTGGAACGTGTTCATTGCTGTCCTGGTGCAACTCACCTGCCTCAATAAAGCAAGTTTATTGTGTAACAATGTAAGCAGAACGGCTGGAGTCCTTCTAGCTGGAATTACATCCTCAGGAATTCCTAACAGGCGAGCGAGCTGGCAAACTGAACAGACTAAATCCATACCAGCAGCTTTAAAATAAAACATATGAAATGGATAAAAAACAAAAAGAAAAAAAGAAGGAAAGAAAAGAGATGATAGCATAAACTAAGAGTTCAGGGGATAAGCAGTTAAGGAGTAGCATGGGAACCATGCCAACAGCCTGGTTATTTTTAATCAAAAAATGTTACTTTCTTTCTGTGCTGCCCATTCCAAAAATGTTGAAGTGGCTGAGGCCATTTTAACACAGTTAAGGGAATTTTTCTGCCAGCTGTTTTCAGATGCTGGCACATAAATCTGACAGAAAAATTACATTCAGCTCCATGATTTTATATATTAGTAACATGACTGCTTTCACTGTACTGCCAAGTAAGCTCCGTTCTCACCCATTTTCTACCAAGTGTACAAGTATCTGTGGAAGTTCTTTAGAGAGAATTATTGATTTAGTTCATCATCAATCAAGTTGGTGTTGATGGATGTTATACAAACTGTTGGCATGAAAAAATGAATGCTAGTGCATATAAGTACATAACGTATCAAAAACTCACTTGGATGAAACCAGGACAAATTAGAACTGATAAGACCACCCTACAAAAGGTCCAGACATTTGGTTTTCTTGGACTGTGGGTAGTTTACGTTATTTCTTCAATTTTTGAAGGGTCACTATTTTTGTACAATTATGGAGCTCACGTTACAGTTCAGACTGTTTCCCATCCACAATAAACTCCCATCCACAGGCAATGTTCCTGTAGAACTCAGTACAGCTCCAGCAGGAATTAAGGGGAAGAAAGCAGAAAAGAGGAGAGAAGCAATTCCATAATGAGCATTTTCCTTTCTTGTAGCTGAGCAGCAGTTGAGATGCTCACCAGCCACAAGTGAGATAAAGCAGCTGTCCAACAGGATATTGGGATTTGGAACTTCCAGTACAGTTCTAGCAAAGACCACACCAATTTTACTATCTGCTCTAGCAATTGGTAAGACAGATCTAAGGATGGACTAACAGGTGAAGAGAAAGTAAAGGGTGAGGAGCAGGTTCTATAAATCTGAACTGACTCTTCTCTCTCCAGTTCACTCAGCAGAATTGCCTCCAAAACATGCACAAATACAGACAAACCAAGGGCTTTGTAACTTGGGAACAGGACAGGTGACAACAGGGAAAGCCGCAGTTCATAAATGTCAAGACTGACATAGATCTGCATAAATTCCACATAATCTCCGAGTTGTAACCCATTACACACATCTAGAAATATACCTCAAGATGTTATGTTAATGTAAACATTCAAGGACGATGTATGGTTTTGAATTAAGAACCTGCTTCAGAATAAACAACTGTACAAATGACCTTGGATTCTGCAAATGCCACCTCAGTACCAAATTATCTCAATAAAATTTTTACATTCTTTCACTTTAAAAGAACTGAAATTTTAGGCAATCAGAAGATGCTCTTTCCTCCTCAAGCAGTCTCAATTAATGTACCTGAAAAACCAATGCTTGGTGGATTTCTGACTGCTCAGAGAAGGGCAATGATGTGGGAAGGGAAAACACCACAGCAGAACCAACTAATAGGAAATAGCAAAGCCAGGTCAGATGGACAGGGAATACACGGGAACAGGTCTATGGCGTTTGTTGTGCATGAACAACCTGGAATTACAGACATTTCGGATCAAAATACCTGTTTAATGATTTTTTCCCCTTCTCTCTCTTCTTCTTGACACCTATAGCACACTGCTCAGAAGGCCTTTCCTGGCATAACCTCCACCCAGTTGCACTAGAGCAGAAAGAAGGCTTCATTCACTGAGATGCAACTTACCCAAATAGTTGTTGCTCTTTGACATCTCAGTAATGTTGATTTTAGTAGCTCCTTCAGGAATTTCCACTATCTTGTGGTAGCCAAGATTTGTTAGCGTGTGTTTGAAAACTCCAGACACCACCTTGCAAGCAGTGTTGTCCCCTCCACATATTCCACACTTGTCAATCACCTTGTCAGAACCCAGATAGTCGTCACAGCCAATGCTCTGCAAAATAAAGTAAGATTTCTTTTTTCCAAGATCTTACAACTGCAGACTTTGGACATAATAACCAAGGATAGTATGACTTTCACAGAACAATCAATTGTGAAACCATTTTGCGAATCAGCATTTCAGTAATGTCTTCCTTTGTTCCTCCGTATGGGAAAAGGCTAGAAAAGCTAAAGGGTTCATAGGCTCGGGGTTCCAAAGTTAGCTGACAGGTTTTTACATCCTGCTACCAAAAATACAAGAACACACTAGAACAGTAATGCATTGTTCATCACTGATTGCATCCTCCTCGGCTGGAAGGAAAGAACCTCTTAACAACACAGTTCCCACAGCTGCTAGTCAGAGAAGAGGTGGAGAGCTATGATTACGTCAGGATTCAAAACGGGCTTTTTACAAAAGCAGAACTACTTCACATATACAGTGTTGTCCTGATCTCCTCTAAAATTGAGCACTCAGCCTACTGTCACCAAAAGAGGTTTCTCAGAAATCTTTATGCTGCACCTTGACAGTTAGAGAAGGGATCCTTCAGTTCACTGAGTAGAAGATCTTCAACCCACTCAGTAGCACCCACTTGGACGGGATAATTCCAAATAAATCATTTCCTACAATCATAGAACGGTTTGAGTTGGAAGGGACCTTGAAGATCATCTCATGCCACCCCCTCGCCGTGGGCAGGGACATCTTCCACCAGACCAGGTTGCTCCAAACCCTGTCCAACCTGGCCTTGAACAGTTCTAGGGATGGGGCAGCCACAGCTTCTCTGGGCATTTAAAATAATGTAAATTAAAGTGCAGAAAAAAGGTTACAGATCTGACACAAACAAGAAAAAAAAAATCTTTCCAAGTTACTGCACTTTAAAAGTCTCTACAGTACATGCACTACTTCCTGTTTTACAGAAACATTGATGGTGCTGGTTTGTATTTACAGACTTAAGGAAGTTTTATGATGAACACCTAATTAACTGGCACATCCAAAAAAAGAACTTCTCATTCTCATTTGAATAAGAATGAAATATTACATGAGCCAGTAGAACAGAAACCTATCACATATTTTATGAAATGTAATTTGGAGGTTGAAACTAGATGATCTTTAAGGTTCCTTCCAACCCCAACCATTCTATCATTCTACAAATGTAGTAGTTCGAAGTAAATTAAATAAATTCATGTCTACCCCCCAAAAAAGCTTTTTTTAAGCACAAAGAAATCATTCATGATCACACTAAAGCTGGAAGTCAGGAAAGATGTCATAATAAGTTAAAAATATGGCAACAATGCAACAGATAAAAGGAAAAATCTAAGGCTGTTAACAGATAAATCAAGGAGATACCAGATCCACTTACACTAAAGTTGAAATGTGATAAAAGCATGTAAACAACAATTCCTCAATCATTTTTTATCTTACCTACCAAGTGCTGGAGCCTTATATTTTTAACCAACCCCTGTTCTACATTGTTCATGGTTCTTCTGTTAAGAGAATCATATTTGACATTCCATCATCCTCATTTTAATAAACAGTTTCCTATATTCTACCTGAATTTCTAAGCTTTTCTTGCCATGTCAGGTATTTTCTCCATATAAAGTCAGATGTTTTTACTTCCCAGGCCTTTCAAACAGAATGGGAAGATGTTCTCTTAATAATTCAACCAGTAACGAAGTGGACACAAGTGAACTGGCACACTGGAGATTTGGTGTTGTCCCAGGAGCTCAGGTGTGGTGACCATTTGTGCACTCCACAAAACAGCTTCCCTGCAGCTGAGATGTTAATTTGGAGACTTCTTCACTGACCAGGAATGCAACTGTGTTTTCACAAAAACAACACCGTTATTTTCTGTAACAGTTTAAAAACCAACTTATCTATGAGATAAATCAGCTTCTGTTTTGTGACAACATAAGAAAGCACTTCAGCAGCAAGCCAAGAAAGAGATTTGATGTCCTGGAATTTTGATACTGGTTATGGCCTAATTTTAGCCTGGAGATAAGTAGGAATTTGTGATGTGCACAAGCAGTTGGAATGGTTGACAGCTAAACAACACACAGACAAACCAACTGGATTTACTCCTAGAATACAGGCTGGAACTGGAGTTGGCTACAGAGGAAACTCCAGATCCTCAAGAGATAGTTTCAAAATAAGCAGCAGATACTTAATATACTTTGATGACAATATCTTAAAGTTATTAAAGAGCAGAAAATTAGCTGCATACAACTGGAAACTCTGTATTCCTCAGTACAAAATTTGATTTTATTTCTGAAAACTGCAGCAATGCCTGAGTTGGGGTTTGCTGTTACACATCATGGTGCTCGGGTACTGGAGACAAGACAGTTCCCAAAACCCTCAGAAACATGGCCCAGCTGATGTGCCCAGCACCATGAGGTGTCACAGCACCAGCAGAATGCAGCTGCCAGAAACACAGGGAACATCAGGATGGCCAACCAAAAAAACCCTACAAGCCACACCCCCCTCCAAAATGACATGGGCTCCTGCAGGAAATGGCACTTTCAAACAAGGACAAGGGATTACAACAAAAAGAGCCTGTCAGAATACCAGACATCTGGGATTTCACTCCTGTGTATCCCATCACTGTCTTACTCAGAAGAAAGATCTGAGAGTGACCAACAAAGGAATTCCAGCAAGAACTGCAAAAATCATGAAGGAGCAGGGCTCCACAACAAGACTAGTAGAGTTTGGCTTTATTCCCAGCCATCGAACCCAAAGGTATTATGTTCTTCAACTTCAGCACATCAATTAACAATACTGGAAGATAAATAAAATCCCCTGATCCTCAAAGAAAACATAACTTCTGTCACAGATTTTGAAAGTAAATTTTATTATTCTAATGTACCACTTCTATCCTATGAGATACAAGAAAAATGATGTCCACAAGGTGGCACTTACAATCCTTGTGAAATCAAAATGCAGAAGGTCTTTGCAAAAAAAAAAAAAAAAAGAAAAAAGTTAATTTCTTACACCTCAACACAAAGTTTGTATTGCACTTGTTTTCAAATGAGCCTTTATCACATGAGTAACAACTGCTGTTGTTTTGTTATCAGTAACAGGTTCTTAAAATATCTCAGTCAATCCAAAGATTTATTTTGGTTTGGAATGTATTTTAATCTGAAATACAAATGTTGTACAAAACTGAAATGAAGGAGAACCTCTCAAACTGTTATTTCTTGCATCATATGTTCTCCTTGTCTGGTCACCAGGTGGACTTCATTTATCAATCATAAACAAATATTTTAATCCAAATTCTGGTGTCTGCCCTCCAAAGGAATCCTCATTGACTTCAAAGTTGACATCAATGGGAAATTTGCCAAGTCACAAGGGTCAGGCTCTTTATAGATTTGACAGGGCAGAATTATGTCAATCCCATGGTCTTCACAATGCAAAATTTACTAGCAAGTTTAAATGACTTTTGGACTTAAATGTGTCAAACAGAAGTATATATATATAATTTTTTTCCATTCACTTGAACTTCTGTGTAAAATTAATCACTCCCACTGAATCTGTGGGAATGAGAAAGATCAAGTTTAGGAGCACCTGAGGAACTTTTATGTACACAAATCTTTGGGACCAGACAGGATGCAACCAGTGGTGCCAACAGAGCTGGATGATTTCCCAGTGAGGTCATGGTGGTTGGTGGGAATGCCCAAAAAGCAGCTGCCACATCCAGGAAGGAGGACCTGAGACTCAGTTGCAGGTTGGTCACCCTAAGAGCCCTCAGGAGACTGCAGAGCTGATGCTCCTGGAAGGAGGATCCTCCAAACACATGAAGGACAAAAAAAAAAAAAAAAAAAAAAAGATGTGGCACACTCCAGAAGGAGCAGTTTATCCACAAAGTCACTCGTGATATTGGACTAGAGGGACTAAGTAAGTCCTTAAACACTTGGTTTAGCTTGGTGTTTACAGTCTAGGCTCCCCCTTAAGAACTTGTCCAAGGAAGCCTGGATAAAGAAGGCATTGCAAGAGAAATTAAGAAAGTCCCAACTTCACTAATTTCACTCAACTGCAGCTCACAGACGTGCCACTCATTTAATCCTTCCCCTCCAGGCAGGAGGTCCATCAGATTAGTAACAACAAAGCACATACTGCTTTGGCATCTCAAAGCTTTGGCTCCTCATCTCCTGGAACTACAGTTTGCATTAGTGGATTTAGATTGTTTTCCCAGGCAGTTTCTGATACTTCCATCACAAGCCTTGTTTCTTATCTTCAATAAATCTCTCTCCTCTCCACTAGGATGGACATTAGTTTTCTGTTTTCTTTTCCCCCCCAAAACTTAAGCAAGGTTGCCTGGAGATTGGCTGGGTGGTTCTCTCCTCAGTGTGTGAAGAAGCTGAGGATAACAATACTACTTTTCTTTGGCCACTGTTAAAACCTTCGACTTTCACGCATGAACTTATAAATTTAACTCCTAAAATTAGATAAATATAATTCCTTCCATTTCTATCTGTCTATGACAGGTATTAAATGAGGCACCAATGAAGATGTAAAGATGCTACAGAGCAACAGCCAACACACGCCAGTCATACCAGAGTAGGATTCCCACCAAATGCACACCTCACTTGCCAGAGCTATTTGTAAATGAGAAGAATGATACAGATTTCCAGGAAATGCCTTCAGCTTTGCCATTCCCTGAGGGGGCCAAAATGTTTGTGCTCTGTAGCATTGCAATAGAACAGCGAGCAAATGCCAGCACACAGCCAGGGGCTGAAGCACTTCACTGTGGGAGGGAGTTCCCATGGACAAACAGAAGTGCAAGGTTTGGTGGTGCACATTCTTCACTGGGAACAAAATAAGCAGGGTGTTCAGCAGTGAGGAACCAAGGCTGTGCTTGTGGAGCAACAGGTACCTCCAGGAAACCTCCAAAGGCAGAGCACAACAAAGCCAGCAGGGCCTGCTTGTCTCACTGCAGCGTCTCATGTCTTCAAGGTTGCAACCCAACCCTCATTTGCATTACAAATCAAAGGAGCAACGTTGAGAATTTACATTCAACCACAGGA